GAGGGGAGACCTCCCTGCAGTTCCAACTGCCTGGGCAGGGGCAGAGGAGGGGCAGGACTGAGCTCTGCTCTGGGGGGAGCAGGGACAGCCCCCAGGGAATGGCTGGAGCTGTGTCAGGGCAGGCTCAGGGTGGATCTCAGGGAAAGGTTCTTCCCCCAGAGGGTGGTTGGCACTGAACAGGCTCCCCAGGGCAGTGGGCACAGCCCCAAGGCTGCCAGAGCTGCAGGAGGCTTTGGATGATCCTCTGGGGCACAGGGGGTGACTCTTGGGGTGCAGGGTTGAGTGTTGGACTAGATGGTCCTTGTGGGGCCCTTCCAACACAGGATATTCTGTGACTGTGACCAGCTGGCAGAGCCTCACAGGGAGGTCTCAAGGCAGTGACTCAGCAGGGACAGCGACTGTTCCAAAGGGTTCCTGGTTTGCTGCTCTGTCCTTCCCCATGCCAAAGGAACACCCCTGTGCCATCCCAGGGCTCACCCCCAGGCTGTGGAGCAGGGGTGGGGCTGTGCCAGCCCATTCCCTCCTCACCTCAGGCACAGCCGTGTCCATGGAAGTGCCTCCAGGCGGAACCACCGGGGCTTTCCCAGCCCCAAACCATCCCAAACCAAAGGAGATCAGCAGACCCTGCTGGGCAGCAAGCACTGGAGTTTCCTGCTGCTCCCCCCAGGGGCCTTTGAAAGGCTAAACACCACCTCCCCTGCTCTGCACAGCTGCTTTCTATCCCCCTGTTTTATTTCAGGGGGTTGGTTCTTTTGGCATCGATTCAATCCACCAGCAAATGCTGCAGATCCAAATCACCAAAACCAGAGAGAGGCAAAGGAGAAGTGTAGAGATTAAGGCTGAGGAGGCCCCACAAAAAGGGAAGGAATTCACTCCTAATAAATACTTTGTGGGGTTTTCAAGAAACACTCAGCCTCGTTGGAGCCAGTGACAAACTCCTGGTACTCCCATTTGTCTAATGCTCTGTTTGCTTCAGAAAGGGAGAGTTGGGGGGGATGTTCCATGGACCTCAGAGGGCAGCAAGCTCAGCTGCCAGCAAGTGAATCCGAGAATCTCATCTGCTGCCCAGCTTTTTTTATTGGGAGAAACGGATTTAATCCTGATTTGTTATTTTCTACTATCCCACTGAGGTTTTTTCCCACGTGTCATGTTTTCTAATTGACACATCAGCGTAGGGTATGTCCAAAGGGATTACAGACTGGGAAGGCAGGGGAGGCTGAGGGAAGTACCACAAACACTGTACCATTTTGGATTCCAGAAATAGCTGGTGTTTGTTTGCTAAGAAAGAAAGCAAGCAAGAAGGAAGGAGCACGTGGGGTCTGTTCCAGGCCCTGAAAGAGTCAAGAAAGAAAATGAAAATTTGGTTTCTGGAATAAACATAATGAACTGTTGTTTCTTTTTGATGAAACCTGTTTTAAAGTAAGTTTGCTGGGTGTTTTTTTAGATCCCTATCAAGTCCTGGGGCCCACCAGTAGCCGTCTTGCCAATCCAGGTGAGTTCATTTTACCTTTCAGACCCTCCTCATCAAAGGGGACACATTTCCTGCTGACCTGCTGCTCCAGGATGAATGAGCAGCTGCTGTCCCTCTAGTTGGGGTGAGCTGTGAGAGCCACCGAGCTCAGTAGCTGTGCCTTCATAGGGGTTTTTTGCAAAAATCCTTACAGAAAAGTGAGGAAAGTGGTGCAACATCATCTGTGTCAGGACAAAATCACCCTACTGCACTGTTCTTATCCAAACCCAGCATTCCTTAAAGAGAGTTCTATAGGGGACTTAAGTGCTGGTCTCTCAGATTGGCAGTACAGGGTAATTTTTCACTGTCTGCTGTGGATGAAATGAGTGAAGGCACAAAATATCTCTGAAATTCTCTGTAAAATAACTGTCCCTAGCATGTTATGGGCAGGAAATAATCCTTGAGTTTGGGGTAAATCTTGCTTGAACTGACCAAACTGAAACACAAGGAATGTTTGTAAGAAAACATCCTCAAAACGCTCTTTAACTCGCATAACCAGAGCGAGTAAAACCAGGGGACGTCTTCTCTGGGGAAGAAATGATCTTGTGTAACTCAGGTCACCAGCTGGAAAGAAAACTGGAGGTATCCAGAACAACATCACGGCAAACAGTGAGCAGTGCCGAGCTGACATGCCCCTGTTAACCAGTCAGCGAAAAGCTCCGCAGCACAGCGTGCTCAGGAAAAACCCTGTTTATGAATAGCCCCGAAGATTTTAAGGCCAAAGGCGGCCCATTATGAAATCTAATCTGACCCCAAACCCAGGAGCAGAACAAAGGGTTGGCTAGCTTGTTTGCTGGGAACAGTTTATCCATTCCCTACGCTGGCCCTTCCAAGGGCCCGGAGGAGCCGTTCCCAGCAAAGATCGAGATAGCCCTTCTGTTTCCTGCCTTTGTGCGCGCCTGGGGGGGGGCAGGAAGCAGCGTGTCATATCCCTTCCTCCCCTGGCTGTGTGTCGCAGGCAGCGGGCAGATCCAGCTGTGGCAGTTCCTCCTGGAGCTGCTGTCGGACAGCTCCAACGCCAGCTGCATCACGTGGGAGGGCACCAACGGGGAGTTCAAGATGACGGACCCCGACGAGGTGGCGCGGCGCTGGGGCGAGCGCAAGAGCAAGCCCAACATGAACTACGACAAGCTGAGCCGGGCCCTGCGCTACTACTACGACAAGAACATTATGACCAAGGTGCACGGCAAGAGGTATGCCTACAAATTTGACTTTCACGGCATCGCCCAGGCCCTCCAGCCTCACCCCACCGAGTCGTCCATGTACAAGTACCCGTCGGATCTCTCCTACATGCCGTCGTACCACGCCCACCAGCAGAAGGTGAACTTTGTGCCCCCCCACCCTTCCTCCATGCCTGTCACGTCATCCAGCTTCTTCGGAGCGGCCTCCCCCTACTGGACCTCCCCTGCAGGAAGCATTTACCCCAACCCCAACGTGCCCCGCCACCCCAACGCCCACGTAACGCCTCACTTGGGCAGCTATTACTAAGTGCTTTTAGCTCCACGGGGCCTTCAGGAGTCTGGCTGGACTTTTTCTTTACTTCTGGGATTTTTATGGGGTTTTTTTTTTGGGGGGGAGACCCCGAATGGATAATTGTGGCCTTTGCGGGGAAGAATTAAAACTGGATATTGGTTATTGCTGGACCAAACCTTTTACTTTTGTAACTTTGCCTCTTGTGTCTTGAACTGAGAGAGATGGAGAGATGGAGAGATGCGTCTGTGGGCCAGTACTCTGCGTTTCCTTGGGGTTTGATGCTTGTGTCCTCTGTAGGAAGTGGCGATGAAGATTGTTCACCCGTAACCTGGAACGATTCTTAGAGAAATGTTCAAGGATTCAAAGGCTCTCGACAAGACACAGATCCACCGGTGGGTCGTAGGAAAGGATGACCACCTGGGGTTTTCTCTCACTGTGGAGCACGTAGGCAATCTGACCATTAAGTGGAGGACATTGGGCTGCAGGGGACCACAACTGGAATCTTAGCTTTAAGGCAGATGAAGGATTTTTTTTGTTTTTTTTTCACCCAACTGGAAATTAAATATATATATATATATATATATTCATATATATATATGTACGTGTATATTTTAAGAAGTAAAGGGCATTGAAGGAACTTTTCTTGAGTGTACAACTCCATTAGACTGTGCCTCAACTCCAGAAACACCAGAAACCAGAACAAAACGTGGCGTAGTGTCGAGCACAGGCACTCCTTGAAAGCAGAATGAAGTGAAATAAATGACAGCAGGTCCCTGGGCAGTGCCAGAGCCCGAGGGGCCTCTCGATGTAGCGATTCGCGAACGCTGTGCGTTTGTCAGACCGTCATCCCAAGGGTCAACAAAGCAAGGCGAATTACTGTATAAATTATGCAGAGTTATTTTTCCCTATATCTCACAGTTTTTAAAAAAGAAAGAGTAAATAAAAACGAGTTGACCTCGGTCACAAATGCAGGTTTGTTTGTTTTTTTGTTTTTGGGTTTTTTTTACTACCAGCTCTGTTTATTTTTTGTTTTTTTTTTTTTTTTTTTTTTTTTTTTTTTTTTTTTTTTTTTTTTTTTTTCCTAATGTAATTTGTACATCTTTTCAATCTGTACATTTGGGCTGTAACTTTGTACTTTTTGCTAAAAAAAAAAAAGAAATAAAAAATACGACACGAGTAATGTATCTGTTGGAGATAGCCTTGGTCCTGCAATTGGATCCGTAATTGACCCCAAAGTTGCCAGAAACCTTCCAGATCGCCCTGGGTTGGTCTAGAGTAGAGTATTTTCTTGTATTAATCTGTTGTAGTTGTCTGCAAATTAACTCCACTTCGCTCACATGTTTGCATTGAAGCTGATTGAAAACATGCACAATGTTTTAAAGCAACTATTTAAATATTTTGTGATTGTTTTTCGCCAAAACCTTTAACTTTGGGGAGACCTTAACCACTTCATGGATAACATTATCAACCACCTCTCTCTTTGATGCCTCCTGTGGGGGGTTTTCCTTGGCATTTGGAACATTCCCACGTTGTCAGCCATCTCCAGTTTTGCACATGGTAATTTGATGGTTTGGTGCCATAAACAGAGGGCGAACCACAAATATTTGGGGTTTAGAACAGATGTCTGGGGGAGGGGGGCGGGGGGGGAGATTTACATGTAGAACCCATTAAATGACTTGTATTAACTGGCAACCAATTAACAGGATCACAACTATCTAATCTAGTCTAGACACAACCTCTGGGGCTCTGCGTGGGGGCAAGGTCTGGTCCATGTGCATCTGATTGCAGGAGAGTGTGAACCCAGAGCTCTGGAGTCTGCTCAGAACTTTAAACAGAAGCACTGATGCCATTATTTAACAGAGTGGAAAAAGAAGATCAAGCTAATCCCTTTAGGTCTTAGTGCTCTCGGGGTGTTTATAAGCAACATTACTGCAATAATCGCAAAATTGAAGTATTTGAAGAAATTACCCATGGAAATGGGGCTTTTGCTACTATATATATGCAATGTACTTTTTTGGATATTAAAATATATATAATTTTGCAAGCTATCTTGGTGTTTTTTTTTTTAAAAAATGTACTAATGTTACAATGAAACAGTTGTATGAAAAAGATGATGTAAAAAAAAACCAAAACAACAAAGTGACAAAATAAATGGTGGTTTTCTTCTCTAAGTCATCACATTGTCCCACTCTCTCCCTCCCCTCTGATGCCCACAGGTGAAGCATCATGAACTTGATATTGAATTTAGATAAAAAAGGAAACAAAGTAATCCTTCTCACTAAAAAGTATATTTATAATATTAGTTGTACATTATTATAGCATTAGTTACAGTATTTATAGTAGAAGTGTTGATCACTTATTCCAGAAGACCTGTATCTGTGGGGCCAGTGTGGATTAGACCTGATTTCCTTGTTGAGGTGTCTAAATCCCAGCTTTTACCCACGGGGAGAGAAGGTGGAGGAGCAGCCCAGGCTCAGGGAAGTGTTTGGCACGAGGAGCAGCCCCCGTTCCCCTGTGCCAGGGGTGGGATCCCAGTGCCAGGACATGCTGGGTGCTCCAGGCTCCTCCAAGAACGTCTCTGTGGGACCATCCTGCCCCCTGCTCGTGTTTCCCACCAAATCCCAAGCCCCGGGGAGAGCCAAAGCGCCCCTGAGGTGGAGGCTGCGAAAACAAAGCCCCGCCGAGGAATCTTCTGGTGGTGGATAAAGGTCAGGCCCAGGCACTTCCTGCAGACACACGGTGGTCCTGAGAGATATCAGGATCTCGCTGCAGGTTTGATAAACCCTCAGGAACCTGGGGCTGCACAAGCATGATGTTTCCTTCCTCCAGCAGCCCTTTGTTGCTGAGCAATGACGTGATTAACTCGGAAAAAGAGCAGCTCCAACCAGCACAGAGCTGCTCCCTCTGTGCATTCCAGCCCGTTTGTTGCTCAGTTCAGCCCTAAGAGCGAGTGGTTTGGTGCTTATCTCCATTGTTTTTCACCTCAGCACTCTCGGGATGAATTCTGGCTGCCCATCACCAGTGGGTTATTTTAATGCTCCTGCCAGTAATAGGAAAATCAGGAGATGAGATTGCACAAAAATGTCTGAAGGCAGAGTCTGGAGGTCATCAGAGTGCAAAGATGGCCCTGATAGGAAAATTTGGCCAGTGGGAACCTTGATGAAAAAGAAGGTTGAAAAGAACAAACAATTTGAGAAGTATCTTTTTCTGGCTGCCCAACATCTTAAAGGAGCCCAGACTGACAGAAGGGGAACAGCAGCATTACAGCTCATGTCCCCTCTGTCTCCTTCACCTTCTCTTCAGGGTACTGTCTGATATCAATCTTTGCTAGTTTTTGCTAATATTTAGCTTTAGATATTAATGTTTGTTAGTATTTGCTAATATTTAGCTTCAGACAAATTCTGCCTCCCACTGCAGGCTGTGCTGCCCTAGAGATCTCACACCACGGTGCCAGACAACCTCAGGCCATTGGGGTCCTTCCCAGGCACCTTTCATAGCATTTCCATAAATCTTGATAGCTTACATCCCTCAAAACCAAGTAACAACACAGAGATTGGAACAGGCCATTTGTACCCCCCAAAATCAGCCTGACTTTGCCTGCCAGGAGGTTCCTGGGGGATCTCCCCTGCCACCCCAAGTTCCTGGGGCACACTGAGAGAAAACAAAACAAGGAACTGGACAGCACTAAAGCTCCTTTTTTGCTTTTCCCAGAGGGACGAGGCAGATGGAATTCAAGTATTTCGAGCTTAAATCAGAAAGTTTACCAAACAGATGGTTGGGATCACATGTTTGTGAGCTGTGAGTCAACAGGGACAGCAGAAAATCTTCTCTGCTGTCGAAGTTCAGGATTCAGAGCTCACCAGGAAAGCCAGCTCCCACTGCAATCAGGGGCGATTTGGCTGGTAATTCCCAGTGATCTGGTATTCTCCAGCATCTCTGTCCTATCCCCAAGCTCAAGCACTGAATGGGATCTGGCTCAAACGTGCCAAACCACAATAATTTTGACATTCCACCTTCTATAAATAGATCCTGCAGTTTGTACATCTTAGCTGGGATCTGTGTGCTGGTTCCCTCTCTTTGAGATGTACCAGCCTCAGTGTATGGAGCAGGAAAGGGACAACAAGAGGGCACTTCTACTGCTTGGTTACAGCCAGCAGGTTTAGAACCTGCTGTGAACTGTATTTTGAAGAAGGTTTTATCCCCTCTGCTGAGAGTCTGGAGGATGGAGCTCCCAACTTAAGCACTTGGTAGATGCTCTAAACTAGGAGATGGTAAATCCTTCTAAAGTCAGGCACCTGAGATCAGTCCCATCTATTCTATTCTATTCTATTCTATTCTATTCTATTCTATTCTATTCTATTCTATTCTATTCTATTCTATTCTATTCTATTCTATTCTATTCTATTCTATTCTATTCTATTCCATTCCTTTCCCTTTCCCTTTCCCTTTCCCTTTCCCTTTCCCTTTCCCTTTCCCTTTCCCTTTCCCTTTCCCACTCCAAAGAACCCACCCCCTTTACACACAAGTGGCCTCCTGCTTTATACACCTAAAAATTGTATTTCAACCCCAAGCATGAATTTCCAAACAACTGCAGGTCCCCAATACTCTCCCAATGGAGAGGGATTTCCCTCTGCTGAGACTTCCCCTTAGCAAAGAGAAAGCCATTTCTCATCCTAGTGCCCAACAAGTGCAATCCAGCCCTAATGAGACATTAATTATGGGGGAAATGTGCCATAACTTCTGCTGGTGCAAATATTTAATGGGAAGCTGGACCTGCCCAGCAGCATTTCACACACATCCACGACAGTAAATGGCTGTGCCTGAAGCTCTGCACTAAAAGCAGGGATGAAGCAGCTGCTGTTTCCCACCTCTCTGTCACAAGGAAAGAGCCACCAATCTGTAAACTCTGGGTTAAGGGACCCAGCTTCACTTTATTATCCTATTACAACAACAGAGTTTTTACAGGCTGCTCTGCTGTGCTGATCCAGTATTTTTAATAACTTCAGTGAAATTAGTTTGTGATTTCAGCCTGACAAAGCCTCCCACATCAAACCGAGCGTTGCTGCAGTTGGTGTTAATTAGAGCTGCAATCTGGAGGCACGTGGAGGGGTTGGGGTTTACAAATTCACTCCAAAGACCCTATTTGTATATTTGTGTACAATACCCAGCATAACACACACGTGACAATTTTCATCTGTGAAAGCAGAACTCGTTGCAAATGAAGCTCAGACTTTTCTGTCATGTTGGAAAAGGATTGAGACCTCTGGTTAAGGCCATGTGAGGAGCAACAACACTTAATTTAGCTTGTGTGTTATGAATCTTTCATCTCCAGAGGTAGAAACCCTTGTGCATAAAGCTCAGATTCTTCTGTTGTATCAGAAGAGAGTTAGAGATCCTAGGAAAAATTCAGCTCTTTTTATTCCAAGCTGCAGTTGCTACAGGAGGATGAACACCAGGGGCTCTGCAATTTGGTTTCACCACAAGAGCTGCTTCTTCCTTTCCA